AGTTGGACCATATCTCGCTACACAAAAGTTTGACATGCTCTCTCAGGAAGCTATCTTAACTCTCCGTATCCTGTATATCTATTTCAACCGGGAGACATTATACAGTTGATGTTCATAAGTATGTTCATAAATATTCGTGATTTACAGCTATTTAAAAATTTGTAGGATTACAATACTTGTATTGTAATTCGGCAAAGTCACGCACATTCATGAAGAATGACTATTAGGACGTATCTAAACTAGTCCTCTATATATTTTATGAAGATTGACTTTATCTAACTATCTCAACTAGAGTCCTCCATTCAAGTCCTCTATTTTAATGGATCCAAGTAATTGCGGACATATTTCACTGTGTGTTTACCGTGTTTGGGTGACATTCATATTTTACAGCTGGGGGCAATATTTCCGAACGGTTCTAATTTATTGGTGTACGTACTCTGTAAAATTTGGAAAGTATTTAATAAATAAAAAGCTCCACAAGAAAATTATGGGTATTAGCATACACTGTGTGGCAACGAAGAAGCTGATGAACTTCATTGTAAGTAAATGAAATGATTGAAAACTCAACTACTTGACGTTATCCAAACAGAAAAAAGCTACGAGTACATGCCATTTGCTACAAAGTGGTGGCTTCACAAGAGCAAGACGGTGGATGAAAAGAAACCAAAGTTCAAGAACGTAATATAATTTCCTGTGTACCTACAGGGGGCCGTATATCTAAACTTAATATCTTAAGTTAATAAACTAAAGCTCATAAGCTAAGCTGTTTTGCACGATAAAACATAATATACATGCATCTAATCAGCTTATAAGTATCCGCTATTGGCTGACAGAAAACGATATTTTTTATCGACTCAATTGTAATAAACCTTGTCGGATTCCAATAAGATGCATTTATTCAAATCATCTGCAATTCAGATTCCGGACAGACCGCGCCTGCACAAGTTAAAAAACCTCAAAAGTAAATGAACCTCAAGTCCAGTATATCTTCCTACAAAAATATCATGCATTACGAGTGGGCAAAAGTGGAAGTGTTATGAAATATATCAGTAAAATCACTGTACAGCCTCTGAGACACTAACCGACTGTCTCACCGATCCTAGACAGCCTGTAATGACCAATATACAGCGTATAATATCATAATTATTCGTTCATAATCAATCATGTATAGCTATTTATAGGGTACAACCCTTAACCGTTCATACACTTGTTGTGCTCTCAGACATGCAAGCAACATATCTCAGTATCTCCAGCGTTAAGGTTAACTTTAGGGGACGTGAAATCGGGTGAGGGAACTGAAGAAGAAAAAGAAACTATCTTTTTTCATGACAGACACCTGGACTAAATACGTTTCCACTAGACATTATTTGAAACAATGTCTATTTTCATGACAGTGTTAATCAAAAGCCAGTCATCTGCTGAACATTATTTGCTTTCTTATAGAAACTGATATTAGATGTTTGAACTGAAAAATACCTTTTGCCATGACAGACACCTGGACTAAAACAATCGAAAGAGTGTCTATTTTCATGACTTTTCCACTTAGTACAGTCAAATACGTCTTTTTGTCGGACAAAATTCGCAACAAAGCGATTTTAACGGGTATGGTCGGGACAGGTCCCAGGAATCATTCCAGAGAATTCCCAAAATTTCCGACCTGAGCAAAATCCACAATTACCTCAAGTCAGAAATTTTGGGAATTCTCTGGAATGATTCCTGAAACCTGTCCCGACCATTTCCCGTTAAAATCGCTTTGTTGCGAATTTTGTCCGCCAAAGGCTTAAATTAGGACGTATTTGACTGTACTAACTAGACAGCAGAAAGAGTGTCTATTTTCAGGACAGTGTTAATCAAAAGTCAGAAGCGTTATACTTATAGAACCCAGAAATCTGCAGAACATAATTAGCTCTCTTGTAGAAACTGATATTAAGCGAAAGTGAAGCCTTATTGGAACCGTGTTGATTGTTCTATTGGTTGGGTTCAATTTCTTCTGATTCTTCTGAAGTGGGGTAAGTTGAGACACTTTACCCACTGTGCTACCAACAAACAGATTATTATTCACAAGAAACCTGCACTTCTGCTCTGCTGTTGACTAGGTTTGTTTCTTTTCTTAATCAACGACTTAGATTCTAAAACCTACTAAACCTCGCATTAAAGAAATTTTTTGAAAGAATTTGTATCCATTTGTCTAAACTTGATTCTGTAAACAGTTATTGTAGTTGTAAGGTTTAATACAGTGCACTTTCATACACCCACAGAATGTTAAATTATTAGAAGACCCTCCCTCTCTGTAATCTGACAGAACTACCCAGTACCCAGTAGCTCATTCTAATAAGTCTCATCTCTATTTCAGTATTTCGTTAGCTGTCCTTTTATAATTGTAACTAGTGACTACAATGCTCTATCTTATAGTGGTTTTGATCTATTCCTAAGTAGTAAAGACCACTGCCCCCTACGAAGAAGAAGAAGAATACAAAGGATGTATTCGTCCAAAATTAGGTGGAAGAATCTATAAAAATGTTTATTAACACCATATTGTGCTGTCAAGTTTTATAAAATGAAATAAATAATTAATGAACTACCCCCGTACCTGGCGTCATTAATTATAAACACCAGCTGAAAGGCAAGTCCTTTATATTAAGGAGCCAGGACTTGCTACACCAGCCCACCATGTTGAAGCACTTCCGTACCAATACTCTACAAATGTAATAGATTCGTAGTGTTGTAATTAGTTTAAAACACTAGTTTATTATTAGTACAAGCACGTGCCTGAAGGGCGAGCTTTTATACAGGGGGTGACCGCTCGCGCCATTATAAACAATTGCTGTACTCCTGTCACTGCATTGTCATATTAGAGCTTCCCATTTAGAATTAAAACAAGTCCTTCATATCATGGAGCCAGGGTGTGGACTGGCTACACCTGTTTAAAGTATCATCCCATTACATTATTCAATACTGAATATGTCATAGGTTATTTTGTCACTTTTTAGGATTATTTGGTTGTTGATATTAACTGGTACTTATTATGAACTGAAAACATTGAAAACAGATAACATCAAGAAAGTATAAATAATATCAAATCGACGCAGAAAAGATCGAACTACACACTACAATACCCCCTAACAATGACTGAACATTAAGAATATGACGACTACTCAACCGTGATGTGGACAATATACATCGCATAGAAGAGTCAGTATTAGCTAGTTAGTTATCAGCAAGTCCCAAACAAAACTCACATTCAGCCCATCATCGTGTGCTGTTCAAACTTTATCACTACATTAATTGTTCCTTACCTAGTAAACTGCACACTTTCTCTAAATCATACTGATATCTTAGCACTGCAACTTGTTAAAAAAATCTCCAATAATAAATGAATAATAACGACCGTTAACTGGACTATAAAGTTGAACAAAGTGCAGATATTGATAATATAAGTAATGACTAGTTAGGGTGGCAGCTACCAAACAGATATTATAAAAGTATAAAGACCGTGCATTCTGCAATTACATGTCCCCGTGAAGCCAGACAAGGAAACAACAAAAGAATTTTGTTTTTTAAAGGATTCTACCAAATTATAAATATTATTTAAACAACTAAATTATCCCAAAACTAGTGTTCTTAGAGGGAAGCAGACTGAAAAAAAGACGGGCCTCATTTGTTGTTTAGCACACAATAAAAAATACTAATAAAACTCGGAGCATGGCACGAGAATTTCAAAAAATACAGTTTTAAAATAAAAGAATTATACCATCTTTTAACTACTAAAACAGTATTAATTCTAAAGCTCCATGCATACTGACACAAAGAGGTATAGGAGTCAATCTCAGAGCTTGGTTAGGAAAATTTTCTAAAGTATGCAGGAGACGTTTGACAATTATATGATCGGATGTGATTGACAGTAATTGACCTAGTGACACCTAGCAGCACTTATAACTCGGTAACATGTTCGCTGTGATTTGATTGTCGAACGATATGTCGAAAACATCGAAGTTAATTAATGCAAATTATCCTGAATAGCCTTCAGGATCCTGGCTCAATTAATCCAACCCAAAAGAATGTTGATGATCTTTAGATCCGACTCTAAGGAAACACATAGATAAGGTCGTCAATCTCAAAGAAGAGTTTACTAGTGGACAAAGGTATGGTGGACAAAGGTATGGTGGACAAAAAGCCAGTGTAAAGAAACCACAATTTTTTGTGGTTTCTATAAATGGTTGTACAGGAACCATTTATAGAAACCACTAGAAAACGTGATTAGGAATATTCTCAAATTAGTGCTACTCTAATTATGACGTCAACACTATATTATTCGTGTATCTCCATTAGTTGAAGATCCTTCTCTTCTTAAGATCGTGCTGCTATTAGTGTTTACACCACATGAAATTATAATTTTTAAGTAAAACGAATGAGGTACTAAAGATATAGATATTTTGGTTCCTCAATTAACGTTCGTTTATGGATCATGATTGATGATTTACTGTTATCCTGTTATCGACAACTTTACGGTTATCTTGGTGCACGAGAAATTAGTTTTATTATACAATGACGTTTATATCGCTATAACATTCGTATATCTGATAAATTACTCCTGCATAAATAATTCCATTAGTTAAAGTCTTTGGCTATTAGTCGTTAGACCACATGAAATTATATATTATTAACGGAATAAAGATAGGTCATTAGAGATCTATATCTTTAGTCTCTTTCTAGATTCAGTTAAATACTGTGATTACTTGTACGGTCAGTTAACGGCCATGTTTATGCAAAAGATTTGTAACCTTTACTGAAAACTTCAAAAATAAGACTGACAACCAAGGAAAAGGTCTCGATACTGATGGTAAGGAATATAGTTGCGATCAAAAATACTACTCTGCTACTATGCGGATAAGATATTGTATATATATATATTTTGTAGCTGTACTCCTACACATTAAAAGTCGTTGTTGATTAGATCTTCGAAATAAGTCTTTGCATCATTTTATTAAACATCGTTATCTCAAATTATTTGTTATATAGTAGTGTTGAAAGTATTAATAATGAAAGTTATTATGAAAGTAATATAATGCCCAATAATTTACACAATACGGTGCCCATTTTTGAGCGGCTCTTATCAAAAAGCTTTTTCTCCTTATCGGAGCAAAACGTTAAAAAAACACGGGTATCATAAAATCAAAAATACCAAATAGTGATATCATCAGAAAAAATATTCTAAAAACTTTCACGCGAAATAAATTAACTAACGAAGTTGATTGTATTGATAATGAAATGGATAATCAATATACTAAAGATCGGCATAAAAAACTAGACTAATTCAAGAAAATATGATGGATAAGAAGATGGCTACTGACCCGTCCAATCCTGATCACCATCAACACTACAACATAGTGTTATATTCTTAACGGAATTCTGAGGAATAATGAGAAACACATGCATCTTATCGAAACCGGTGCATGGTAGAGCACAGCAAGACAAGACGCCCTAGAAAAACTATCTGTCAATGAAGGAAGTTGGAACAAACTCTACATAGTAACTGCAAACCCTGATGCGGGACAGGAATATCATACCTAGCTCTGACTTAGTTCCGACCTAGTAGTGGTAGTAGTAGTCGTATATAAGTATATAGATCTTTAGCATCTCCCTATGATTGTTCAAGGAGTATGGTTAATGACACAGACAAGTTAACCGCTATCTTCATGGTGCATGAGATTTCTAACCTGCGCTAAAAACTTCAAAAACAAGGTTGACTGTCAAGGAGTAAAACTCGATACTCAAGGTAAGTGAGAAGTGAAAAAAACTACATAACATATTCTGAAACGATATAAGCTGGCAAATAATATTTTATTAATAATGCAATGTTTAATCGATTGAATTAGACAAAAATTGGTCACACCAGTTCCGCAGAAAAACTAGACTAATTCAGTAATTCTAGAGATCCGACCCCACTTCATCACTAGATAGTAGGTTAGTTCCGCAGAAAAACTAGACTAATTTTAGAGATCCGACCACACTTCATCACTAGATAGTAGGTTAGTTCAAAATACCGTGCAATTAATTAAGTTATAACCACAGACAATCATTGTGTGGTTAATCTATTCGGTTTGCATATCATTGTAACTATAGTTAAATTTGAAATTTATTTATTTTATTAATACTATACTGATAACCCACGGAGGATTGGCATGCAATCTTCTGGCACAATGTAGAAATATAATATAAAAATTTGTTGTTTAAAACAAAAGATTGGATTAATAGAAAAATGTCGTACGATTTTAATCAATTTTAATTAATTCACAATAACTAGCCACATAGGTAGATGTAAAATACATTTTTATTCGGATGGCGAGTGGAATGATGAAGGACTAATGTTAATATTTGAAATATAAATAAACCGCTTCGTTAATAATTTTACTTGCATACATGAGTCACGGTTTTTAAATATTCACGACCTTCGTGAAAACCCGTGCTTGAGTCTGAAAATCAGCGGGAGTTTTAGATTGGATGAAATTTAAATTGTTCAAAAACCGTTTAATAAAAAGCGCAGAATATGAAATGAAATAAATAATAATTAGCTTTTACACCTCCCATATGGATTTGCAACAGCACAGAAAAGTCAGGTACAGACCATCTCAGAGCGGATCTAAACGAGTTGTGAAAATATTCACAGCAATTACAACTAGATCATCTCAAAACAAATATGCAGCGAAATGATTTCTGGAGAATCTTTAAATTTGTACTCGTCATGGCGCGAGACAATTCGCGAAAGAAACTAATGTTAAGCAAAGGCAAATAGTTTCGCACGAGAGAGCGCTGCTACAGCAATGTTCATGTATTGGCAAGAAATTCGCCGACTTTCTTACGGTAATTAGGACACGTGGTAGTAAATCTAGCGACAACACCCCTGAATTCATCCAGGTAAGCAGCAGCTCATTAGGGACTGCTCATTACGAGGTGTCTGGAATAAAGACGATCAGCCCACGTGCAAACTGCCCACGTGCAAACTGCCCACTTTAAACTTCCCACGTGCAAACTGATGAGCTAGTATAGCTCTGACTGGTGTATTATCACTAATTGGGGTATTATCAATGAATTGTGTATCAATAATTGTTTTGTGAACTGTCTAAAAACTTTCTAAAGCTGTTTCGATGATGCGGAAATTACATGTAATGGAGCTGTCTGTGCCATTCAATGATCATGATCATCCACATTATATTTAAAATAGCGCCAATAAAAATTACATTAAACTGTCTGCTCCATTCATTGAGCATGACACACAAAGCGCATTAAATTTACGATAGAGCCAATTACACTGAAGAGATGTCTTAAAGAATGAACAAATAGAAAACATACCAGGTGTCATAACTACCAATTAATTAATTAATAAATTGGCTCAGTCTGAACTATAATGTAAAGATTATACGGAGGACACGATAATGTTAATAGAATTACTGCGTTTGTCAAATATGCTAATTGTGTACAAAAGGTGTTAAAATTTGAGGTAAAATATGGATTTTAAATTGGAGAAACCTCGTAAATACACAAAGTCGCTCACATCTCAGTAATAACGAATTTTTAAGTAACATTACTTTACGATTACATATTCACAGATTTCTGACCCAAGATCTAGTTATAGCTTGAATTTGTCATTTTCAAACGATCAAAGTGATTCGAATTTTTTATATTTCGAAAATGTGGTCGTAAGTGGCGAGGTTCAATGTTTTACGTGAAACTTTTAATCGTTAGAAATAAGTGTTAAACCGCCACTGCGTAAAGTAATAAAATTTCCATAGTCTATACGAGAATATACGGGAATAAATTCTGCGAACTAAAATAAAATCTTCACACAAAAATAAAGTTCCCCTCGTACAAAACGCAAAAGCCAATGAAATAGCACAGGCTACGCCAATGAAATATCACTTATTATACAAGCGCTATTTCCAGCCCACGAGACGGACTTTCACACGAATCAAAGAAAAACAAGTCCTTCTATAATCTATACTGTAGTCTGCTACAAAAACAACGAGTGGCGGCTTTTAGAACAGTTGCTTGTGTGCACTCAGCAGTAACGTACTACGACATGAATTATTGTAAGTATTCAGTGTCATGTAAAGTTAGTGAAAGAGGTATATGTTGTGTTAAGCGTGCTCAGTGCTCACATGGTACTGGTTACCATAGCATTAGCAACATGGTATAGCTGTTACCATAGCAACATCATTCTAGAAGAAAAGCGCGTAAAACTGTTTTTCTTCTTTCTTAGCACACTCTTTTTATGACTACAAATTCTTGCAAGAATGTACTAGATATTATTTTTGATAGTCTGTTAGTGTTACCTGGAGCTGTAGCTACTTTTTCTCACGTTTCAAATTTTTTTCCGTTAGACCGCAATAAGTCCGGCTTGTATATGTACAGAGAATCACGCGAGCCCACTAGAAGGTATTTGATATAAGTGCAGTTCTAGAAACATCCATTGCAGGTTCTAATATGTGGGGTATAGTTGTTAACAAGTGGAAACATTTAATTTATGAACAATCAGCTGAGATTGCTGCTAGAGGTATTATAGGTGAGGTAGTTGCTATGGTAACAGAGGTATTATAGATCGAAGAAATATCCTTTTACAATTTACCTAGACATTGCAGGAGACAAACATGAAATAATGACTCCAATTTTCTCCGAATTGGTATAAATAAAACGGTGACGTTGGCCGCCAGCCAACGAATGTCGGTTCGAGTAGATGTAGCTTGTTGCTATGGTAACGAGTGGGACAAGGTTCACTGCAGATGGTGTCCTCAGAAGTAAGCTGATCAGCTGATGTTTGACTGAAAGGCACAGCTGATGATAGCAAGCTAACTGCCAGTCTCCGTCTGAGATGTAGGAGAAACTGGCGAGGATGTAGGAGTAGGGTGAAAATATGATTGAGATGCAGATAAGGAAGTACCTGTGATTACTACTCAAACCAAAATGCGGGAAATTGACATTACAAATCTTACCTTAGCTTTGGTATCGAGAATCGGGTTAGCCTCGAAGTAAATGTTGTGACTACATACAATAACGACCCCGACATAACGTAATGAAGATATTAAAACCAATATATGGGCTCTGATATCGATGTAATTTTGATCGCGACGTCTTGGTAGTATAGTTTGTACAAATTTGTTTAATTTTTGTTAAACTTCTGTTTAATTCCCATAAACCAAGTATATGACGTCGGTGTGACTACTTCAGTTGCCAATATGCAGGCTGATTTATCAAAATTTATCAAATTAAGTTAAAAGTCGTTCAGACTTCAGATTTAATAGCAGTTTATAGTTACCCACCAGGCACCACCTAGTACTACTAGGCCATCAACTAAAAATTAAACTTTCAACAATTCAACTGTAACTACTAGTAGTAGTTACAGTTGAATTGTTGAAAGTTCAATTTTTAGTTGATGGCCAAAGTTTGATATCTAATAATTCTGAAGTTATAAGTTATGTAAGTTAATTAATCAAGTCAACTACAAATTTTAAAGTGAAACAATATATTACCAATAAATGGAAAAGAGAAACAACATGCTACCTGTACAGGGGGACACAGCGCTTGAAGATTCTAGACATCTCAGGTCTAGTGTTTGGAAGTCTCATCGCATATAGAGTGACCATCGTTACAACATTCAGATGGTGAATACCCTCTGTAAAGCCCCACTGTCACCGGAAGATACCCCAAACCTTTTCTCACAGCAAGCGTAGAAAAGAAATTTATCGAGTTTCACCTTGTATTATTAGACAGAACAACTTGTACAAGCGGGCAGAAATAACAATTGTATCTACCTTTATTATACTATAACTTTGCTTGTGAGTCGAGCAAGTATAATAGTCATGATAATGCAAAAGTGCATAGTTATCATAATGCATACTTGACTGTAATACAACACACTATCCGATGTTATGCGGAGTAAAAAGATCGTGGGAAAAGGAGAAACCAAAAATTGCTAGCAATAAGCAATTTAAACGAATTTTAAATACAATTTTTAGTATGGTTTGCAGCT